TGTGTGTCTGGGGTGCTGTGTGTGTCTGGGGGTGCTGTGTGTGTGTCTGGGGGTGCTATGTGTGTCTGGGTGCTGTGTGTGTCTGGGTGCTGTGTGTGTCTGGGGGTGCTGTGTGTGTCTGGGTGCTGTGTGTGTCTGGGGGTACTGTGTATGTCTGGGGGTGTTGTGTGTGTCTGGGGGTGATGTGTGTGTCTGGGGGTGCTGTGTGTGTCTGGGGGTGCTGTATGTGTCTGGGGGTGATGTGTGTGTCTAGGGGGGTGCTACATGTGTGTCTGGGGGCACTGTGTGTATCTAGGGGGTGCTGTGTGTGACCACTGGGTGCTGTGTGTGTGTCTGGGAGGGGTGCTGTGTCTGGGGGCTGTGTCTGGGGGGTGCTGTGTGTGTCTGGGGGGGTGCTGTGTGTTTGGGGGGTGCTGTGTTTGTGAGTGAATGTATTTTTTTATTTAAATGTAAATCTTTTTTTTTACTAATAAAAAAAATAAAAAAAATAAATAAAAAATATTTCCCCCCCTCCCTTCTTCTCTACCTTTATCCTGGGAGGGGGGAGGAGATCCGTTCTGTCATGCTTCCCTGGTGGCCCAGTGGTGAGAGTGAACTCTAACCTGCAGGTTAGAGTTCACTCTCGCGAGATCTGAGCTTTGCCGTGGTAACCGCGGCAACGCTCAGAATCTCGCGAGAGGACCCGGCGGAGCTGCTTGTTAGAGCTCCGCCGGGTCCTCTCTCCTCCCTCCCTCCCTCTCCCCACCGGCCCATGAAGGCGCACAGCAGGGCCGGCGCTCGGGTAGCGCTGGCCCTGCACGGGCTGGCAGGGGAGATTCTGTGATCTCCCCTGCCGGCCTCGGCCCCACGGCCATCGCGGCCCACCGGGCATTTGCCCGGTATGCCCGATGGCCAGTCCGGGCCTGCCAGGCATGTTGTGAAACATATGGCATAATGCTTTATCATAACTGGCTGTAGTATGGTATTAAACAGGCCATATTCTAGCTTACATTGCTGCACATAATAGCATAGCAAAACCCTCTTGTATCTCATTTACTCCGAGCCTACTGTGTTTTACATGTAAATGGCGTTATGAGTAATTCTCAAGACTGTAATGATATAGGCTGGAATAAACTAGGAACAACATCAGCATTAATAAAGTTTGGCCTACAATATTAAAACAATGTGAGAGTAATTAGAAGGAGACAGCAGATCAGCATAACTTAACAGACTGAGAGTTCGTGTTGCAGCACAGAAAACTTTCTCCAGAGCTCGGGTAAAGTTTTTAGGTCTCAGTCTTTAGGGTGGCTCATAGTCAGCCGACGCCCGCTCTGTGATGCCGCTGGGGTTGCGTGAAAGCCGCTCGGGTCCGGGCTTGCTTGGATGCCTCAGGGGTTCCTCCATGCCTCTGTGGCTCCTTGTATTGAGTTGTGCTGTTTGTTTGTGGCGAGGCACTTCTCATGTCCAGGGCCTGCTCCATGATGCCACTTGCTTGGCCCCTCCTTGGGTCCAAGTTTAGGTTGCCGGGGTCTCTGCTGCGTAAGGGTGCTCTTTGTTGGTTTGGTCCCTTCTGCGTGTGTGGTCGGTGCTGTGGGGGGTTGCCCCTAGTGGCCCTAGGCCCAGGAAGGCGTATAGTGGTGTGTTGTGTTGGTCGTGCGGTCGGGTTGCCTCTGGGGAATTTTTCAGGTCTCGTCCCGTCAAGTTTCTGCTTTCTCACCTGTGGTGGTGTTGTCTGGGGCGCCTGCTTCATTCGTTCGTTCAGGTTAGCCCAAAAGTTGTTGAAGGCTGCCTCCAGACGCACTTCAAAGTCATCGAACGGGTCGGGGAGATCGGCTCTGCGCTGCACAGTGTCCTGTGTTGCATGCCCCTCCGCCATCTTGCATGCCCTTGCTTTGTGCTCTGTAGATCGTGAGGGTAGCTCACAGCTTACCGCGGGGATCCAGTCGTGTGGCCCAGCGGGGACCGGGATAACCCCCATCGGCCCAGAGGGGTGGAAGCGAGACCCATGCTTTCTGCTGGTCGAGTAATGGACGGAAGACCGGCTATATCTCCTGCCCGGTAGCAGTTTGCAGGCCTCAGGGGGTCCTTGTCTCCATGAGTACGGTTTGCCATCGGGTTTTCACCTCGAGAGGCCGCCTACGTGTTCCCAGCTTGAAGTATGCCCGTTTTGGTCAGAATTGTGAGGTAAAATATCTCTTTTAGGGCATAAAATGACATTGAAATTGAGGAGCTCCCTCTCCCTGCGTCCTTCTCAGTCAGTGGCCAGGCCCCGCCCCCCCAGGAAGTTCCTTTTAAAGGTCCATAAGCCCCTCACACAACTTCAGGACAAGCCTTCCAATATTTGGTAAAAATTCTATTAAAGTAAAAAAAATAACTGCCCAGTAAAACCATACCCAACCTATAGATTGCACTATAGCATGTGGGTCCCTGGAGTATCCCTTTAATAATTTGTGTGTAAGTTTTAGCCAGTAAACAATCACTTCCAGACAAAAACGAATCTATTGAATCTGCAAAAATACAATATAAGCATTGATGGAATGAGAAATAATGTGTCATTGGTTTGTTATACAAACTAAGTCAGAAAAACGCAAAAGCATATTAGTACGTTTTATTATTTTACATAGTAAGAATGAGATGGAACAGACTTGTCAAGTATTTTCAGGTATCAATAACCTGGATAAAAGGACTGTCCTGTAATGTTGTTTTGCTAGTTTATCTCTTCAGTGATAATTTCCTTATATGCTTCCCGTGCCGAGAACAGCATTACAGCTCTCTTCACACGTGAGGACCGTTAACCAGATCACCATTGGTTTCTCAAAATAGGTTCTTAGCAGGGCTTTAATTTGTCACAGACCGTTTCTTGCAGATTCTAACCTCCATTAGCTGACTAATGCAGCAGTCAGATTCAGTGCTTTGGTCTCTTGAAACAGATGGTGTTCTGTTACTTTAGCAAAGTAAGAAAAATAAAAATAATTAGAAAAGCATTTTACGAAATGTGTGTTTTGTAGAAACGATTTGGTTCCTTTCAGAAAAATATACATAAAGAGATAAAAATGCCTCTAAAACTACATGATATAAATCTTTTTATTATAAATCATGAATTAATAGTGACATTGTGATTCCAAATAAAATACTATTAAATAACAGAACATAAATTTCATAAGCAAATGTTATTCTATTCTTTTCTAAGTAATAGAAGAATTAACAATATCATCACATTTAGCTTGAACAATTTAACCCCTTAAAGGGACACTATAGGCACTCAGACCACTTCAGCTCATTGAAATGTTCTGGGTACCAGGTCCCTTAAACCTGCAATAGTAATTATTGCAATTTTTTTAAATAAACTTCAATAATTTGCCTTGAAGGGTTGACTCCACCTCTAGTAGCTGTCTACCAGACAGCCACTAGAGGGACTTCTGGGTGGTTGGGCGACTTTCGGTAACCTAATTGACACTGGATGCCCAAAATGTCTAGAATCTCAATACATTTTTATAAGTTATAAAATAAATACTGCAAGGAGTGAATTACGGATTTACAGCTAAAGCTTTGTAAAATTTGACATGCTGACATTACAACAGAGGTTACGGGATCCAAAACCGCTATGTATTTGTAGAAAGTGCATCCCCAGACTATGTAACTAAGAGCATTTTGACACTTTTTATTTAACCATTTTATCACAAACCTGGGTCAAAAAAATGTAATCCCTTGTGATTTTTTTCACATGTGTTTTATTTTGGCGAATCTCACAGACCACGTGTAACACTACTACAAACACCCCATATGTTTACTCTGCTTCTGTTCTTGATTATAATGATACACCATATGTATACCTTTTCACCTAATGCCCTTAAAACATCCCCTAATCCCACTTCAGAGTGATTCCCTCTGCTGACATCCGTACTGACATCAGCATAGCGATTTCAAAGCTCTCAAAGTACAGAGGACTCTATTAGCACTCTGTACTGTGTGATTGCGGCATCACAAGGAGATCTCCCTCTCACTCTGCAACTCCAGGAACGGTAAAGCCCTACAACGATCACTTAGCAAGTGTTGAGCAAATCATCCCTCAAAAGATTATTTACTGAAGTGTGAAATTTCAAATTTTCAAAAGTAAGTAAAATACCTTTTCACTGCAATCTGAGGGGGACCAGGAACCTAACAGCCACTCCAGCAATACATGTTTGTATTCCTAACACTATCGTGTTAAAATGGCTTAACTGGAAAAATTCTGGAATGGAGCTGGGAGCCATTTGTGAAACCGACTTAGATGGTCCACTCGTTGGTAGAGATAGCTGCAGATAGCTTGTGGATACCATGGGCAAGAGGAGTAACAAAATGCGGTACCTTTACAACACTGAAAGAACCAACTCTATGAAACCATTTTTGCAAGATATTGGTCTCTCCTCGCCTCCATTCTAACCAGTTTAATGTTACCCTTTGTTTATGACAATACAAGGGACTCCCTCCCCTTACTCACTTAACTCCCCTCCTTTTTTCTCCTTTTTCTTTCTTGTCTTATCTTTATTAGAAGTCATGGTCTCTGACAGATAACACACAGTCTGATTCTTACTTTACAGCACCGCCCTCATTTACAGTTGTTATAGTCAGAAATTGACACTCCCTGTCATGAGCTAAACAACAATATTTTTTTTTTTTTCTTGTGGCCCATGTCAAGTCTCAGTTTGGTCACAAGGCCTACGATCTTGGAGACATACCTTCAGCCTAAGCCTCTAGTAGTTTGCTGCAAAATTCGAAGTGCTTCAAACTGTTTTTTTTTTTTTTTTGCCTTCTTTTGGATCAAGAGCTAAAAACAAATGTGAGGAAGGCGGAACTTGATGGTCTCTTTTTTCTTGAAGTCTCTTTTCAGCTATGTAACTATGTACAGAAGCAATTTTATGGAGATCCAGGGACAGAATTATATTGCTATATAATCTTTTAGACTCTAGCACTTTCCTAGGAAGGCAGGTGTCATGTATCTCACATGAATTATTATTTATAAAATATTATAAAAAGATGGTTTTAGTTGATTTCATTTAATTTAAAGGGATACTATAGTGTAAGGAATACAAATCTGTATTCCTTACACAATAGTTCCTTTTGCCCTTTTGTCCTTTTTGTCCTTATTTGTTATTTAAATCAATAAGTGATTCGTGAACCATTGTTTCAACGTTACAGTGTGTACATTGTTATGCTTTTGTACCTCATAAACTTCAATAAAATGTGAATTAAAAAAAAAAGTAATGAAGTGTTGAGGGTACGATATTTTTTATAATACAAAAATATATCCCAAAGCATTACTAATTTAACTCCAAATATACATTTTAGAGTTTATTGGTGGCTTTGATGTTTTTGCAAGTATCAGCATTGTAAAATATTCCAATTCTCCACAGCCCCAATTATACTTGTCTGGAAGTACATTTGTTTAATGTTTAATATAGCAATTGATTTATATCCTACCAAAGAAGCAAAGATGTAAATGCAGACACATCTGTGCGCATGCAATTCAGAATCAGAATGTCAAGAGCCTATGAAGAACCCTAATATAGATTCTAAAACTGCGACAAGATGAATGTGAACATTCTCTCCTTATCCTCAGGATAAAAAGCAAACGAGTACTTGACACACTCCACTGTACATCGCACGCCAACATTAGGTGCTACTGCACACGGATGCTGTGTTTTAGCAGTTCTTCAGCTAACCTTCTTGTCTCGTTATGCTGTTTAAGAGGTCTACAGATTAATGTTAAATCCCTTACCCTGTGGGCTGCCAATGCTCTACATCAGTTACCAGCGCCTCCAATTTGAGAAAACTATTTTTTAAGGGGTGGTTGCTGTAAAAATGAATAAAATAGTCTTTCAATAACACTACGTTTTAGCAAAAAGGTTCAGTTGTAAACTTTAGGAATTAAGCATCCTGTACTACGAAGTTTATTTTGAATGTAACGTAAACATAAAATGTATTAAACAAATCATGTTATAAATGGAAAAATGTTTTATTTCTGTAGACAGATAGTGAGAGATGTATTACATCACACTATCTTGTACCCTCTAAATCATGTAGCAAGCAAAAGAGATCTCGAGGGGACGATGGTGGGTGCGGGGGGTGGCGGAGGAGGTTGGTTGATTGCTGACCTCAAGATGCAAATCCTGCCTGTAGCAAATCTCTTTAGCACTTTATTTATTTTTACATAAGTTAGGTCCAGTATATGCTGAATCAATATCGTAAGATATTCTTTGCAGTGAAATTGATTTATATACAATACACAAATTACTTATGAAATATAGTCATGCTTCCTTGTCTCTGATTGTTCTGCAATTTATTTTGATGGATATCTGGTCTAACTCTTGTATGGAAAATTGTAATGATTGCATTACACTTTCAAAAACCATGTCAGTGTACAAATGCTTAACATTTGGACAATGACGACAGTGTCCAGATATTCACCACATATTCATTTGAACATTAATTAGAATTTGCTAGTTGGCCATTTGAGGCCAGTATGAAGCTGGCTACCAGGATATTAAACATGGGATCAGTGGTGATATATAAAGGGAAAGTGGAACGATGTTTAGAGGCCAAACAGGCATTGTGTGCTCCTGTGTAGACACAACTGGGTCTAAGTGGCAGAAATGTTAGAAGGGACAATGCGTGTGCTTTGCTTTCGCTCCATGACTCAGCAATGCATTGTGGTGTACCGCGCAGGTCCTGTCCATGTCTGGACATTTCCTGTGTTTGAAAGTCTGTTAGTGCCATTGCATGAAGGTATCTATGGAAGATGAGGGCTGTGTGGTTGTCAGACATTGTGATGTGAGTGCTGTGTAGTTGGCAAATGCTGTGGATATGATGCTTTTTTTGCAGGATCAATACCTTATATGATCCTTTTTTGTGTTTCTGTGTGAATATGATAGGTGCTAAAATGCAGACGCCGAGGTACTGATAAAGTTAGTGAGTGCAAGGGAAAAAGTATTATGATCCCATTTAGAGTATGTTTCACTATGGAATAGAATCCTAGTGGTATAGAAACATAGAAACACAGAATGTGACGGCAGATAAGAACCATTTGGCCCATCTAGTCTGCCCAATTTTCTAAATACTTTCATTAGTCCCTAGCCTTATCTTATAGTTAGGATAGCCTTATACCTATCCCACGCATGCTTAAACTCCTTTACTGTGTTAACCTCTACCACTTCAGCTGGAAGGCTATTCCATGCATCCACTACCCTCTCAGTAAAGTAATACTTCCTGATATTATTTTTAAACCTTTGTCCCTCTAATTTAAGACACTGTCCTCTTCTTGTGGTAGTTTTTCTTCTTTTAAATATAGTATCCTCCTTTAGTGTGTTGATTCCCTTTATGTATTTAAATGTTTCTATCATATCCCCCGTCTCGTCTTTCCTCCAAGCTATACATGTTAAGATCCTTTAACCTTTTCTGGTAAGTTTTATCCCGCAATCCATGGACCAGTTTAGTAGCCCTTCTCTGAACCCTCTCTAAGGTATCAATATCCGGTCTCCAGTACGGTCTCCAGTATTGTGTACAATACTCCAAGTGAGGTCTCCCAGTGTTCTGTATAATGGCATGAGCACTTCCCTCTTTCTACTTCTTGTATGTACGTAGCGGGGAACGTGGTGCAACTAAGAGTAAGGAGACTACCCCAATTCTCCCCCCAATACTGACAAACAATGAATATTGGATGAAACAGGCCACAGCATTTATTAAACTTACAACTGTAGGACTCATCCGAACTTTATTCTTTTTCTTTAATTCAAATCTAAATAAACAGATAAATATATATACATACCATAATTAACATATAAATTAACATATAAATTACACTTATTGCCCTACAGCCTCCAACTTAAATAACCGTCCTTGCCAACGAACGTAACCAGGTGCCTATGCACCAAAACTTTACCCACTGGTGTCTTGCCTCCCCCCTCGTCCAAACCAAAAATTCCCATCATCTTAAATGCTCTACCACCAGCCGGCTTTTTGCTCGGTGGGCACGTCCTATTCAGTAATTTAAAAGTTTACCTTACAGAGCAGGGGAGGTTGAGACCCACCATGTCCATCTCCTGACATTCCATCTGCTCCCCAACCCTGTTGGCAAGGACACTCTCCCCGCTAGCTGTGACGGAACAAAAACAGAAAATTAGGGTGGGTGGGTGGGAAGTTGTTTGCTGGCCAGAATCCCAAAAGGCACTGAGGTAAGATGATCCCTGCCCCACTACAAACCCATAACCACTCCCCTAAACACATACAGCCAATTACTAGCACCATCCCCACACTCATACATGTGCCCTTGTCCGTTTAGCTATGCTGACTCCCCAGGGCCTAATACCTCTCCCTAAACAACCAAGCATTCTGCTAGCATTTCCTGCTGCTCTATTACATTGTCTGCCTACCTTTAAGTCATCAGAAATAATCACCCTTAAACCCCTAGTAACACACATCTGACATAGAGCCCTAGACTTTATGGGGCCTTAGGAGAAACTCAAAAATGAGGCCCCCAACTAACACCCATAGTGAAGCAATAAATAGGGGTTGCATTGTGAGGACTTGCAGTGCTGGATACAAAGAGCGAGTCTCTGCATTCATTGTTCAGAGGATCGCAGTGTCGCCAGCTCTCCAACTGTAGTTATAGCATGAATTGCAAACTAAATTAGTTTGCAATAGTTTGCAGTAAACAAATTTAAATTGTAATTATGCTAATAATTTATATACGATTCATATATACAAAAGTGCCGGTGTGAAGGAGTTATTGGAAACAAACATTTTGATTGGACAAAAAAAGCTTTTAAAAAATCATTTACCAAATAATAAAAGTTACAGATAGAAATTGTTCCTATACATTCTACAATACTTTTACATTTATATTATCCAAAATGTTCTTTAGATTGTTTCCCCCGTGTTTTTTATATGTGTAGTATATTAAATATTATATATGTTGCCACTTTACCTTTGCATTGTTTGTACCATACCACCATCACATAGCAGCCATAGGCACACACAATAATACATGCACACATATAGACTAATACACAGATGCATATACACACTGATACATGCACATGCATAAACACACACAAACAAACCGATGCACACACATTGACAAATACAGTCACAATGTGTGAACATGGTGACAGTGATGTGGGGAGGGGTGTATGCATGGTGACAGTGGTGTGGGGGCAGTGTGACAGTGGTGTGGGGGGGCAGTATTACAGTGGTGTGGGGGGCAGTGTGTGCATGGTGACTGTGATCTGTGGCTATATTTTAAATGCGAAGAAAAAAACACTTTTTACATTAACTAGAAGAGGGTAAAATCTAGACACGTGCAATTTGTTTCATTCCGAATGTACATTTGTAAGAATTTCATCCCATTCAGACATTCGGGTGCTTAAGTTCCGAAGTGACGAAGTTCTGTAGTTTGGAGGTGCCAAAGTGAATCGGATTTCTGAAAAGTAGCAAAACAAGAGAGAAGGAGGGAAAATTACGTGAATGATGACAGGAATCTTGACCAATAAACTAATTCCTTTTGTGCAATGTATTGCTTGCTTGCCCAATCCTGTTTTACTATTCCCTTTCCAATGAAATGAGCAATAGACGTGCAATTTATTTCGTTCTGAATGTACATTCGTCCGAATTTCATTACATTCAGACATTCGGATGCTTACGAATGTCCAAAGTGCCTAAGTTCCGAAGTGACGACGTTCTGCAGTTCTGAAGTGCTGAACTGAATGCCATTGATCTGAATTGCCGAAGCAGACTTATTTTTTTACTTACCCAAATTTCCAAACCAAACCGAATTTTTTGCCCATGCACATCCCTGGTAAAATCTGCATTAATGGGCTTTTAATGGCGAAGCAGTCTTCACACTTTAAAAGCAATCTATCTATACAATGAATTGACCTGTTTTAAGCATTTCTTTAAGGAATAAAAGATAAATATGTTTGGATAATATTTATATTCATTTTTATTTGGAACATTATAGCAAAGTATTCTTGTAGATATTATTTCTTAAAGGACCACTATAGTGTCAGGAAAACAAACCCGTTTTCCTGACACTATGTCATCCTTGGGGGATCCTCACCCTCAGGGTCCCCCTCCCGTGGCGCTGAAGGGGTTACAGCTCCTTCAGCAGCTTACCCTTATCCAGCGCCGTGCTCCCTCGGCGCTGGTGACCTCGCCTCCCCCGCCGACGTCAGCTCCTGAATGGAGCGGAATGCGCATGCGCGGCAAGAGCCACGCGTGCATTCAAACAGTCCATAGGAAAGCATTTCTCAATGCTTCCCTATGGACGTTCTGCACCCTGGATGGAAATTTTGCATCCAGCGACGCAGAAGCGCCTCTAGAAGCTGTCAGAAAGATAGCCACTAGAGGTTGGATTAACCCTGCTATGTAAACATAGCAGTTTCTCTGAAACTGCTATATTTACATGTGAAGGGTTAAAACCTGAGGGACCTGGCACCCAGACCACTTCATTGCGCTGAAGTGGTCTGGGTGACTACAGTGTCCCTTTAATTTAACATTAATTGAAAATATATATAGAAACAATAAGCACAATTTGTATACTTCACTTTGTTTCATCCATTGATATGTTAATCTGTTTGAAATATTTAGAGCAGTTCATATATAAAATACCCAGTATGCTCAGTTTAACAGTTGTTTATATTTTGAAAGTATTCCCTTATTCCTGCAATGGGGGTGGTTAAGTCTAGCGCCCTCGGCCTATCAACACCGTCCAAGTTGGGAAAAATTGTAAACAACTGTCAGCTAGTGCTAAAGACCAAAACTAATCATAAAATATATATAAAAGTATAACTATTATCTAGAAGCCATAAACCATAAAACATTTCTTATCAAATACTAAAAAAAAAAAAATAGTTATTAATAATAAGACAATGTTAGCAATATTTTTGGAGGCTGTCTTCTTTGACAAATACCAAGTAACAAAAATAAAACTTTTTAAGTAAGAAACCAAAGTCTTTATTGTTGCAGGATTGTTATGTTATTTGCATGTTCCAAGTGACTTTATTTACTGTGTTTATAGGTACTTTATGTTATGTTTAAAGCACTCGGGCGAAACTGTTATTTGAGTCATTTAAACAGGAGATGGTGTGCTGGGTGCTGATTGAAGCCTTGAAATTTGTCAACACACTCCTGAATGGTTTGACAAAAGACCGTGATGTTGCCCAGAGACTTATAACACCATCACCACTACACTGAGCTGCGTTGGATATGGTGCTTAGAGTGCCCATGTAAGGCAGAGGATATGAGCTGAAGATTGGGGAAGTGGAATTCACATTGTTACGGTATAACATGCATAGATGATTTTGTAGTCGCTGATTAGGCGGCATGTTTCACAGATTCCTCCAGAGATGCGCCTGGGGCACAGTCTGTTACCAGCTTCCTGTACTGCCTTGAAAATATATATACCCAAAAGGCAAAATCTAAGAATAACCATGTTTTACCTGCTGCTTCCTCCAGTCGTCTCTGTTTGCTCAGCTGTCTGAGCATCCTTCTTTTCCAAGCCTGTTTCTCTACGGGAAAGGGCAAGGTGTAATAGATCTACTAAGCAGTGTGTGTTACGAAATAACTCTCAACAATGAATCTTCTAAAGTATTATATGGATGGTGAGGCTCTGCAGGCCAGAAGGTCGCAGAACCAGGTTGTGCATGGGGGCAGAAGGCAGAACTAGGCTTTGTATGGGGGAAACAGGCAGAGCTGGGCTCTGCAAGGAGAAAGCAGGCCAACTAAGCTCTGTATGCGTGATGGAGGCAGAGCTAGGCTCTGCAAAATGAAAGGAGGTCGGCTAAGCTTTGCATGAAGGAAGGAGGAAGCTAGGCTCTGCAAACAGAATGGAGGTCAGCTAAGTTCTGCATGTGGGCAGGAGGCAGAGCAAGGCTATGCAAAGATAAAGCAGGTCGGCTAAGCTCTGCATGTGGGAAGGTGATAGTTCTTCACTCTACAAGGAGGAAAGAAGCAGGGCTAAATCCTGCAGGCTGAGCTGGGCTATTCATGCTGTATGGGCAGAAGCAATGGACTCTGCTGTGTGGAAGTAGGTAGCACAAGGTTCTATGTGGGTAAAAGGAGCCAGGGCTGGGCTTTGTCTATTAGGCTGTGATAAAGCTGGCATGGCTAGAAAGAGGCTCTGGAAGAATTTGTAATTCATAGGGTAAATAGCAAGGGGTAAATTTCATTCCTGGAAAGGTGCACACTAGGTTCACAGCAGTTCGTATTAGAGCCCTGAATGGAAAGCAGGCAGTAAACGATCCCTGAGGGGCAATATATTAGCAGGCTGTATACGAGTTCAGGATGGGTGCAGGAAGTGAAAACCTGGTTACTGCAAAGTGTATTTTCATGTGTAGAATACGATTCTGCATTTTCATTTTTTGTAATGCCTTTACTTTAAGTTGAATTAACCGTGTTCTATGTCTAAGCACATAACACAGGGACTGCCCAGCCATGGGCGTCATGAGGGAGCAAGAGTACTTGCCTAGGCCACTAAGCTTGTTCTGCTATTTTGTGTGAGATTTAAAATGAACTGCAATACCGTGTGTATGGAGAGAGACAGGGATAGGAAGCTGCATCTTATCCCTGCTTCTCTCTGCTGATTGAAACCGCAGGGGAGCAACACATGCAGCCAGAGACAGCCTACATATCAGGGGAGTGAGGGATGGGGTGGGGGGATTCAGATAGCCTATAGACTTGGGGGGGGCAGCAGCAGCCTATAGACTTGGGGGGGGGGCAGCAGCAGCCTATAGACTTGGGGGGGGCAGCAGCCCATAGATTTTGGGGGGGCAGCCTATGGAGAAACTGAGGGGGCAGCAGCAGCCTAGACTTGGGGGGCAGCAGCAGCCTATATAGACTTGGGGGTCAGCAGCAGCCTATAGACTTGGGGGCAGCAGCCTATATATAGACTTAGGGGGGGCAGCAGCAGCCATAGACTTGGGAAGCGGGGGCAGCAGCAGCCTATAGACTTGGGGGGAGCAGCAGCCTATAGATTTGGGGGCAGCAGCCTATAGTTTTGAGGGCAGCAGCCCATGGAGATTTGGGGGAGCAGCAGCCTTTGGAATTTGGGGGGCAGCAGCAGCCCATAGATTTGGGGAGTGGGCAGCAGCGTATAGATTTGGGGTGGGGCAGCAGCGTATAGATTTGGGGTGGGGCAGCAGCCCATAGATTTTGGGGGGGGGCAGCCTATAGATTAGGGAAGTGAGCAAATTAGTGAGCCTATTGCATTAGGGTGTGCACCCTAAATCACAAACACACGCCATGTGTATATGTATGTATGTGTGTGTATGTATATATATATATATATATATATATATATACACTGCTGTGTGTGTGTGTGTGAGGGTGCTGGTAGTGTGCTATGTGGGTGACGGTGTTTTTGTGTGTGTTTGTGAGAGTGCTGTTAGTGTGCTGTGTGTGAGGGTGCTGTGTGTGAGGGAACTGGTAGTGTGCTGTGTGTGTGTGTATGTGTGAGAGGGTGTTTGTGTGTGCGTGTTTGTGCGGGTCCTGTTAGTGTGCTGTGTGTGGGTGTTGTGTGTTTGTCAGGGTGCTGTTTGTGTGTGAGTGTGCTGTTTGTTTGTGGGTGCTGTGCGGGTGCTGTGTGTGGGTTTTGTGTGTTTGTGAGGATGCTGTTAGTGTGTTGGGTGTGTGGGTGTTGTATGTGTGTGGGTGCTGTGTGTGCGAGGGTGATGTATGTGTGTAGGTGCTGTGTGTGTGTGTGTGCTGTATGTTTGGGTGGAAGTGGGGGCAGATTAGTTAATATCCCAGTCCTGCTGCCTTCCCTGGTGGTTCAGTGGAGAGTGAACTCTAGCCCGGGTTCTCTGCTGCCTCCCTCCATGCTGCTGTGGACCGGTGAGGTAGAACTTTGATCTCCCCACCGGCCCATGGAGGCTTAGACCAGAGCCGCCGCTCGGATAGCGTCGGCTCTGCATGAGCCGACCGGGGAGATCCAGAGATCTCCCCTGCCGGTCTCAATCCATTGGCGTGCCGCGGGGATTAGGGTGTGCCCAGGCACACCCAACACACCCCGTGCGCACGCCTATGGAAGTGAGGGATGGGGGAGACAGCCTACATGAAGAGTCAGCAAGGAGCAGGAAGGTAAAGTGAGAAAAGGAGAAGGAACAGAAATGAGCAGGAAGGGACATCAAGGAGCAGAAAGGGGCAGCAAGGAGCTGGAAGGGACAGCAAGGAGCACAAAAGGTAAAGTAGGAGAAGGAGCACAAAGGAACAGAAATGAACAGGAAGGGTCAGCAAGGAGCTGGAAGGTAAAGCAGCACAAAGGTAAAGTAGAAGGAGCAGAAAGGGTCAGAAATGAGCTGGAAGGGGCAGAAGGAGCACAAACATAAAGTAGGAGAATGAGCAGGAAGGGCCTGCAAGGAGCAGGAAGGAAGCACAAAGGTAAAGGAGCAGAAAGAATCAGAAGGAGCACAAAGGTAAAGTAGGAGAAAGAGCAGAAAGGGACAGCAAGGAGCACAAAGATAAAGTAGAAATGGGAGCAGAAAGGGTCTGCAAGGAGCAGAAAGGGATCAGAATGAGAAAGGAGCAGAAGGGCGCAAAATAAGCAGAAAGAAGCAGAAAGGTAAAAGAGCAGAAGGGGCCAAGGATAGAAAACAGTGTCTGAAGAAAAAAAAAGACTGTCAAATGAAGGAGAGGAAAAGGATATTGGAGCAGGAAGGACAAATGAAGTGAACCCTCCACTTTATTCTGGACACCACATCATAAGGCTTTGGTACCTGGGCCAGGCAGGGAAACACTGGACCTTCTCATCTCCAAAGGTAAAAAAAATATCAGTATTAATGTGTTCACTTTTATTTACTGAGTGTCAGGAAGCACAGAGTGCCGTTGGGTAGGGGTGTTGCTGATTGGCTAGAGCGGTCAGCTGGCACTCTAAGCCAATCAGTAGCTCCCCATTCATAAAAAAGTAAAAATATTTTATGAACCGGGAACTAGCGATTGGCTTAGAGCGTCAACTGTCCACTCTAGCCAATCAGCGGCACCCATGCCTGACGTCAATCTGCACTTCCTGACACTCTGTTTCAGAAGCCAAATACCACTGAGCGACCTGGAGCTGGAGGAAGCCTTTGGGGTTAAACCATTTGAGAGCGATTTAACCCCTTAAAGGAAAGCGAGCACCCAGGGGCTTCCTGGCATCATAGCATTTTCATTTAGGTGAAGTTGTTATGGTGACCAGAATGGTCCTTTAATTTGCTTAAATGAACACCATAGTGTCAGGAATACAAACATATATTCCTGACACCATAGTTGTGAAAACGCTATTCACCCTGGCTTTATGTGATCATGGCTGTGCCCCTTCCCTTTCATGACACTGTCAAAAAGGTACCAAGCATGGATGTCATTACAATTATGCCCCCCCCCCGGAAAAATTCCTGCGGACGCCCATGCCCCCATCCCCTCCATGTGTCTCATTCCCTCCCTCCTTTAACCTGTACATGTGTCTCTTTCAAATCCCCGTCCTGTACCTGGTCACCTCTGAGTGGATTGCTGTGCCCGGTCTGACAGGAAGTGCTCTCTCAGTGAGTACTTCCTGTCAGACCGTGGTCCGCTTGGCCATGCTACATACAGTGACTGGCAGGAGGGGAGCACCGTGCTGTGTGCACCCCTCCTGTCGGTCATCAGGTGACTGGGCACCCCGAAGTGATGCCAGCCCATGGTGGCAGGGGTCGACAAGGCTGCCGGGCCCCCTGAAGTGACAAGCCGGGTCGCAACTGCGACTGTGGTAGTTATACCACTGCTCCTGGAGCATTTTGATGGTCAGCAGACTCCTGGAGTATATAAATGGGATTATTTTATAACCTGATATATATGCACACATCCTTATCCATATGCAGCGGAACCTCGGAACTCAAACTTAATCCGTTCCAGAAAGCTGTTAGAGTATGTTCAGTGGAACCGAATCAACATTTCCCATAGGAATTAATAGAAATTTGATTAATCCATTCCAGACATATCATGTACCAGATGTGATCATGTACATGTAAATCCAGTACATCCAATCCTTCCTGACTACTATATCGCTAACATGCAGTCACTACAGTACTTGTGTTCACTTTTACAAATAAATCTGCCAGCCACCTGAAAGCCTAACGTGGAACAGCGGTGTCCCAAAAGATTGCTCAATGGGCACTCACCTCCGTCATGACCCCCAAGCTGTGCCATTCATGTGGACAGGACTCGCCCAGTCATATTTTCTAGCTGTCAATGGATGACCTGGCAGATAGCTCCCCTGCACTTACACAGAGTCCACTGCAGAGAGTGACCGCCACAGTAAGGGCACTGCCCATCGAAGTCGAAGCCCCGACACGAGCAGCTCATCCACCATATCCATCAACCTCTCCAGAATACAGCCTGACTACTGATACTCACATAGAACCAGCAGGTGTCACTTCTTAAGATTACCAACGAGATTACCATAGAGGTGACGTGTTCGGGTACTGAGGATCTTTCGCATACCAAGACATTTTTAACACAAAATTTTAGTTCAAATTCCGAATTGTTCGTAAACGGAAACGTTCGAGTTTCGAGGTTCCACTGTACACTGATCAGACACTACATTAAAACCACTGACAGGTAAATACCATTGATTATATCTTTACAATGTCAACCTGTCAAGGGGTGGGTTATATTAGTGGGATATTACGCAGCAAGTGAACAATCAGTTCTTGAATTTCATGTGTTAGAACCAGGAGAAATGGACAAGTCAAAAGATCTGAGTGACTTTGACAAGAGCCAAATAGTGATGGTCAGACAACTGGAGGCCCCACCTCGCACCTTGCAGGGCTTAAATGGACACTATAGTCACAAAATAACTTTAGCTCAATTAAAAGGATTTTGTGTATAGATTATGCCCCTGCAGTCTCATTGCTCAGTTATCTATAGTGTCTCTTTAAATGATCTGCTGCTAATGTCTTGGTGCCAGATACCACGGGACTCCTTCAGAAGTCTTGTGGAGTCCATGCTTTCATGCATCAGAGCTGTTTTGGGAGCACGAAGGGGATCTTTATGATATTAGGCAGGTGTTTTCTATTATGGCGGATGATCAGTGTATGTTCACATCATTTACCCCTTACATACAAAATAACTCCAGATTCTGTCACTTTCCAGACTGAAAGTGACAGAATCTAGACACTAGACACTAGTGTCTAGACACTTTATCCCCGTTTGGAATGAACATAGATTTTGAAATTTTTAATTATATTTAATGTTTTCTATTTTTGGTGGAGGGCATAAACACCTCTTTTATGTGTGGTATGTACATATGTATACCCTATTGCAAATAATATTGTGATTTATATGGGTTCTATATCCACAATATTGACTTTTATGTATTCTTTTATATTTTTTTACTTGCCCACCTATGTACTATCTGTTTACCATTTCAAAAATGGCCGCCGGAATACTTCTTGCATTATGACAAAGGAACACTCACTGAATGAATAACAAGAAGGAGGGACCACCCCAACTAGGTAAGACACTTCCTGATGTAAAAAGAAGATGGAAGAAAAATAAAAATGGAACAGCCGAAACCGGAAGTCCCTGTCACCGGAAGTGACGCGCGCAATGGATGGGGGCGGGGCTTAATGTTTTTTGCCGCGAATGTGGGGTTTAAAAGTGGGGGCAAGTAGAACATGTTTATTGTATGCACCTGATGAAGGTATTTAGCCGAAACGCGTTCTGATCTATGCTGACCTAATGCAACTTAAATGTAAGATTTTACTATTTGTTTTTTACAATAAATTTTACGATTTTTCTAATACCTATTCTTGCTCCTCAACATTTATATATACTGGGGAGGAATACATCAATTGAAGAATTCAGATCCATATATCCTCCCATGCTTATATACTTGAGCCAGTTTGAATGCAGGCTCATTAAAATGTGAGTAGGATTTTCAGCTATATATATATATATATATATATATATTTGGAAATTGGGATACCTACCAGTACTATATTGCCCTATGTGAGCTTTATTGTTTCAGGGACAACTGGACAAAGATCCTCTGTATAGTATGTTCTGATATATACCTTTTGTCATTTTAAATTTTTTTGTGTAAAAACACTATAATACACATTTCTGGTGCGCTATCCACTCTATTCTCTAATTTCCGAAGCACACACTGCTTGTATTTCTATTCTTTCTCATATACAGCTACAGATGTCCAGTGTTTAAAAAGTAAAAATGAACATTTTATTCCAATATAACTTTTTTATTTATTAAATATTATAGAAATGATACATCACAATAGAATGCGAAAAATAAAGGTTCAACGGAAGGTGCTTCGAAGAATGCAACAGTAATCCTTTCCGGTGACTTATATAAGCACATGAAATTTGTCATATCCCGCGCGTCCGTAGCATACTGAAAACAGACGTGTCAAGGCACCTGTTATTTCCTGTATGCAAGGTGGACTGGGGTTCTGTGGATAACATTCTGCACTTTATAAACGAAATATTTTTTTTAAATCCTTTTTTTTTTTTTTTTTAAAGTTGTTAGAAGGAAGTATAATAGTATAGAATCAGACAGTTTATACTCTGTTGCTGCGAGAGTCACAATGTTGATAAGTATCCACAAAGTGATAGACGCTGATAGGAAGACAACGGTCGGAAACCAGTAGCTGAGACAAAAGTCAGACTTAGAGAAATCTGTAACCTGTAATACGTCCATTTTAGCTGAATCATTCGGGATTAGATTAGTATCGATGATCGGTACTGGGGTTCATACTTGAATTAACTGTAAAGAGATAAATAAAGTATAAACAAACCCTTGTGTTTAATGATACATTTTTTAACACTGAAAGTGCAACGTAAATATGATGTCATGTATTTAAAATGTCAGAGAGAACAGGAAAACGTCAAAGTTTTGTTAAAGGTCGACACATATAAGTAGAATAAAGAGAAAAAATATTAAAATAGCCATATATACAATAATAGTAAATTAATAACAGGAGGTAAAAAGACCTTAAATACTGCTCTTTTATAAAAATGTGTCACCACCTACATTCCTGACTTACATTACAGAGCCGGATGGGTGTCAGACAGGCTCTGTTTTACCCAAGGATAAGACAAACATAACGTTTTAATAATAGCATAATATGATACTATGCAGAGAGCTGGAGAACTCTGCTTTAATGGGTTACTCCAACTACCATGACCATTGCAGTGATTTAAAGTGGTCATGGTGCCTGGAGTCTGTAAGTGTAGAGTTGAAAATGCTTTAAAACGCTGCACCTACATATGGGGTGTCATTAGCCACCTGAGAACAAGAGAATTGGGCTCGTTAATATCAATTCTGTGCAAAATGGGGGGTCTGATGGCAGTACGTACACCATGCTGGCGCCAGACAGCCAATGGCATGATGTCCACCTCCCATGCCGCTCCAGTGATATCAGTCGAGGAAGATTGGGCTGAGAAAAAATTTACCCAAGGTGAAGGAAAAAGGTTAAGTTTATAGATTTATTTTTTATTTTTTGGGGCGTTTGGGGCAGTTGCAGACAACCACATAAAGGATTACTCCAAACTAAACCAGTACTTTATGAAAACACTGGATTTTGGTTGGAGTAACCCTTTATTAAATAAAAATGTCACATTTATTTGCTATTGAAAATAAAAGCTATTAAAAGATTAACCAAATAAAGTGAAAAGCAAAATAAAATGACGTAAAAATAAAATCTTACAGACTGATTATAAAAATAATATATAGCTACCTACCTTTTTACTGTCAGATTAAATTCTGTGATCCGCGGTTTGCAGGGTGGATACTTCATTTATCGATCTTCAACTAACTCCAATAGAGGCTCATCCATAGCAGTACTTTGGTCAGCGTCTCACCAATTTTTGTTGCAAAAAAATAATAACCCAAACTGTTGGCAGTGGAGAGGACTACTGAGATGTTCATAGCTTGTTTTTTAAGTTGTTCATTTGCAATTTTAAACAATATTAAAAGTAAAGATGGTGAGGAGAGGATAGTTTGGGTAAAAGTAAAAAAAATCAGTTTTCTGGGGAAGTTTGACTGAAAAATGTTCATGAAAAAAACCCATAAATCTAGACTTGAGAAAAAGCTGTGTAGTATCTCTGGAATGATAACAGTTTTCCAGCTTCCCCTCTCCTTGGCTGATGACAGTCTGGACAAGCTGTAAAGAACAACTGGGCATGCCAAGATCTTGTTGCAATTGCAAAAAGTGCCCCTTCTGATTCTACGCCTCAGATGTGCCCTATCTTCTCATAGAAGGGCTTTCTGATGTCACCTGTTCACTTTCCATAGGGACATCTGATCCTGGACACCCAAGGAGAGAGGCATGGACATTGCCTTCTCTTCTAGAGCTCTCATTGACTCTCAGCATCAGGAGAGCAGGGTTACAGTACCTGGACTTCTCACAAATAAGGAAGAACTCTTGGAAGTAAAACAAGCAGCATTATTCCTATCAGCAACACCTGCCTGTAAATGTACTACCTTTTTACCATCTAAACAAAACATCTGGTGGAAGAGGTTGGGAGGGAGCAGAGGACGCATTGGCCTAAGTTTGTGGACTAATTGTGTATCTGCGTCAGTGAGTGAGATTTTTATTTATATTCACTGTTCAATTACTTGATTTATATACATAAAATTCAAGGAGCTATCTAAACACTATAACCAGAGGGTTGGTTAGCCCAGCGCTCTGAGCAATTGATTGCCATTCAGCTTGTATAGTTACATAGTAGTCTAGGTTGAAAAAAGACTAAAGTCCATTAAATTCAACCTTGAAACCCATTCTTTTATGCTGTTGGTCCAAAGGAAGGCATAAAATCAATTTGTAGCCATTTTCAATTAAACAAAATAAAGGGGGGAAAAGTCTTCTTTACTCGGTAATGGCAATCAGATTTCTTCTTGGATCAATAACCTGTTTACATACATATAGACTGGATATTGATTACTACAAGTGTAAATTCCGCATAGTAAATGTGTCTGAAGAGACTAGTCTATGGAGTGAGGGAGTGCCTATCATACAGCTCATGACAAGAGAAAAACATGGGGGGTGGCAGCTATAGACTCTTTCCACAATAACTACAATATTGAGCTGTCATGGCCATGATGGTTAGCATGCCCCTTTAAAAAGCACCCACACGCCCCAGCTTTGGAGGGGATGAATGTGACACCCAGATACCCAGTAACAATAAGGGATAACTAATGTTGCCAAAATCTACAATACTGGGTCTCACTTTTACAGCACAAAAAAGATAAACAAAAAAAAAATGTCTTGGTTGTTGGTGCTGCTCTTGTGACCATGTGATCCTCCAGGACTGCTCCGTGATTCCTACCTTTGGGATATCTGTGGGATTGTACGATTTGTTGGGTAAGATGGACTTTGGCAGGTGCCCCCCAAGATGCCACGGACTGCCTGGCTGTCAGCCAGAACTGACTGAAGAGACGTCCCCCACTCCGTGAGGAGGTTCCTTCTGTCAGCCCCTACTAATGGCCAGACAATAACTGTCACTGGCATCTTGGGGGAGGCACTTGCCATGATCCTCCTAGCCAACAAATCGCTCAATGGCTTCTCGAGAGTGGGGGGAGGCATTTGTCCTGGTGCCTCCCCCTGGATCCACTGGTGACAGCTTGCAGGACTGGCTGCAGGTTCGCACAGCGCGACAGCTAACCCCATCTGAACCACCCGTGCACTCGCTATCCAGCAGGTAACAGGGAGAGCAAACAAAAGCCCGCTTGAGCTTGGAAGATGCCAGCCGTGAGGCTGTGCTGGAGACTGCTATATGGTTACATAGATGGTAAGAGGAGGTGGGAATGGCTGCTCATGCTGCTAATTGTAGGACAGAGAGAAGCTATCCTAATATTAGTGTTGGGAAAGTGGTAAATCCCAATGGCGGTGGGATTGTTGTGATGCCTAATGGAGAATGGAGAGTGGTGATGTCTAATGGTGATAGGAGTTAGCAGGGTGCTGCCTTATGGTGATGAGCGAGGGAAGGGATGATGCCTCGTGCTGATGTAAACACCACCATGAGGAATCATCCTCCTCCCTCTTCCGACACCACTTGGCATCACCCTCTCCCATCACCTCTGGGCATCACACCACCTCCTTCTCACTCCATCACTAGGCATCACCGCCACCACCATTAGCAATCATCTCTCTCCCACCACCATAGCGCATCTCGCTTACCACTACCCTCACTATTAGGAATTATATTCCCTCCCACTTCCATCACCATTAGGAATCACCCCTCTTCTACCACCATAGCGCATCTCGCCTACCACTACCCTCACTATTAGGAATTATATTCCCTCCCACTCCCATCACCATTAGGAATCACCCTCCCCCCTTTAAAACCTCTAGTAAACCATTTCCTATTCCTATCTACAGCATTCTCCCTGAGCCTCACTCTCTCCTCTGCTGGAAGATGGAAGATGGAGGGGGGTGATGTCGAGTTGTGGTGGCAATGGAAAGGAGTTATGGTTGCCAAATAGTGGTGAGAGAGGTGTAGGGTCATGCCTAATGTTGATAGGAGAGAGAGGGGGTGATGCTTGATCGTGATGGGAGAAAGAGGAGGTGGTGACTAATGGTGATGGAAGAGGGAGTGGATGATACAAAAAGGAGGGCCCTAGCTGACTATAACTAGGTATCATCCCCTCCCTCTAGCACCACCATTAGGCATAATCCCTCTCCTATCACCATTTGGAATAAACCTCTTCTTCTCTCACCGCCATAAGATACCAGCCCCCTCCTTCTCCCGTGATTATTAGCCATAAATTCCTTCTCCCATCACCATAAGGTAACCCCCTTCATCTTCCACCACCAGGATTAGTTTCTTTATTTTATTAGTATCCCGCAAATGATAGATAGGAGATATAGGGGTGAATCTAATGGAGATGGGAAAGGGAGGGGCTGATGGATGCCTCATGGTGATGGGAGTGGGAGGGTGTGACACCTGATTGTGATGTAAGAGAGTTGGAGGGTGACACATAATGGATATGGGAGAGGAAGGGAGTGGTGCTAAGTGATGATGGAGGAGGATGGTGGTATCCTCCTTGTTCTCCCATCACCATTAAACACAGCTCATTTCCTCTCCCATTCATTCATCAGCATCCCATCTCTCTCCCATCACCACAAGGCATTACTCTCCTTCCCATCACCATTAGACATTGAACCTCCCTATTCCATCACCCCCTCCTTCTCTCGGCACTATTAAGCATCAAGTCCTCCCTCTCCCATCACTATTAGGCAGCCTTCCCTCTCCCACCGCTAACATTAGGCTCCACGAAATCACAAACGTATAGGAGTGGAGCCGGATAGTGAGTGGAGAGAAAGGGGTAATGGCTGATTAAAGAGAAACCATAGGTGGAAAATGTCCCCCCTTTTACTGCATTATATAGAACAGGGATCTCAAACCACTGGCCCATGGTCCATGTGTTGTCCCCAAGCAACTTCTTTCCTCCCGTGGTGTAGGAGATAAACTGCCGGCAACTCAATTTCCAGACTGTCTGGTTAGACACTGGACACCTGGCAACTGAGAGTCTTTTAAATGAGCTACTGGCTGCTAACCCACTGACCAGCAGTGCAGAGTGGTGCCCTGAGATCTGTGTGTATGTGAATGTCTGTGAGTGTTTGTATGTGTGTGTCATTGAAAATCTGTGAATGTATCCGGGAGTATGGATCTGCGTCTGTGTGTATCCATGAGTGTTTGTATGTATGAGTTTATCTGTGAGTGTGCGTCTATATGGAATGGTATTGATTATCTGTGTATCTGGGTGTGCGTCCGTGTGTTAGTCAGTGTGGATC